GGGGACGTCGGGCCTCCAAGGGGGGTGAATTGTGATGACCCTGTGGACGGGTGTGCCGTGGGCGGGTACGAGACACTGACAGACTACCACACTGATGAGTTACGAGTACACAATCCCACATCGCCCGGGAAAAGGGAAAGGTGAAGTGCTTATATGTAGGTGTGTCACTCCAATTGGTATTAGGTCTTTTGGGGTAAAGCCCAAGAGCAAAACCATGCGGGCTCAGGCCCAAAGCGGACAATATCATACCATGTAGTGGAGTGGGTCGTTACAAATGGTATCAGAGGACACGGACAAACTACCACACTGATGAGTTATGGGTGCACAATCCCACATCGCCTGGGAAAGGGAAATGTGAAGTGCTTATATATAGGTGTGTCACTCCAATTGGTATGAAGCCTTTTGGGGTAAAGCCCAAGAGCAAAACCATGCGGGCTCAGGCCCAAAGCGAACAATATCATACCATGTGGTGGAGTAGGTCATTACAGTAGTAGCCTTATCCACAATACTTTAGATTATTGTACGTCTCCAATTGCAACTGAGCTTCAGCTTATTAGCGATGTGTTCAGAGTTGCTGTGTTCTAAGATAAAAGGTTATTTACAATATTAAATGTTTAGTCCATCATTACAATTAAGCATTAAGTCATTGAGGTATCGTTTTCGAACCACATTTCTGATTTAAATAATATATGTATTGTGTACAATACACGTGCTCTAAAAAAAAATAAACATTTATATATTAAGTCAATTTGAATAGATTCATAAGAATCATAACCAAATAATAATGTTCCTATTTACTGAACACTTATCACTTATTCTACACATGTCGTCATTGTATTAGTAATTTAGTACAATAATGAAAATAAGGAACAATAATTCAATAAACTTTTAAGAAGAAAAAGTATATATTAAAGCAATTAAAAGTCTCCCTCTTTCAAAAAGGAGAAAAACAATTAAAGCTTCTCTTTTCCCTCTCAAATTGCGGACCATTTGAAAAAATAAATAAATAAATAAATGAGGATGCCAAAAACAGCGTGAGTCGAATACGGTTCACATGATAGCAATAGGCCGGGTAATTGATCTTGGTCCGAACCAAGCTCTCGCAAGACAAGCCCAAGATTGAAGAATCGTGCCAAAGGTCCACTAAAAGTAATTAGGCCCATAACTAGAGAGGCCCGGGCTGTGGGCCCAACACAAGAAGTTAGTTAGGTAGCTTCTAGAAAGATTATAATAGTCTATAAATAGACGGAAATTAGAGGGAAAATGGGTTGAAAAATCTTGAAGTGTAAGGATATTCTTTTCAAAAAGAGAAAAATATTTCTTGCATCTTTAATGGTGTCGTCTGTGGGAATCGATGAAGATTGAAACGATCAAGATTGATTCAATCAAGACTAGTTCATGAAGAAAAAGCTTGATTTCTGAAAGTTGAATCCAGATCGATGCGATCGGAATTTATCTCGCAGAGTTTCGATTCTGGCTGGTGGTGAAAGATTCGCATTAAATCTACACAATTGTGATTTGTTTAGTGAGCCTAGATCTGACAAGTTCATGGTAGGAGAGATTCAGATCCGGCCAAAGGAGATCAGAATTCAGTTGGTTTAAGTCTAGATTTAGTACGTTCGCATCAGCGAAGCTCAGATCTGATCCGGAATTTGCAGTTAATGACTTTGCTCCGATCAGGAATGATGATAGGAGGTGAGAGCTCAAATTCGTTGGAGAATGGCCAGCAGTCGAAGCTTGATGAACTGATGAGCATGATCGAGGTCATGAGAAGAAAGAATGCCGAATTGCGAGTTGGAATTGAGCGTCGAGAAGCTCCAGTCATTCCACGACCACCTCCAGTAGGGGAGAGAGTTTTGCAGTCTAATATTGCTCATCAAAATGATCAGGAAGGAGACAATCACATGGATTTTCATCGTGAGGAGATCGTGCCAGGCGATTTACCGCCAAATGTCCGTTAAATGGAAGATCGAGAGGGATCTATCCACTTGGATCCGCATCGCGAGCGGATCATGTGAAAAGAAGCCATAGCGTTTGATCCAAATCAAGAAAGATTGAGGCGTGAGAAAGCCATGGAGTTTGGTCATCACAGAGCTGCGTTATCGTGGCAGAGGAAGTTTACGGAGGAAAGATCGCTTGATCCACCCTACCGGCCTTCAATGGCTACGTATGATTACAGGAGTTCAGAGAGGAAATCTAAAGAGCAAAGGATTCCCTCACAATTTTCAAGGGAAAATGAAGCCCTCCATTCGTTAGCATGAACGGTTGCCTCTCCATTCACTGACGAGATCTTAAATGCTACGAATCCAAGGAAATTTTCCATGCTGGTATTCATTCCGTTAGACGGAATGACTGATCCGATCAATCATATTTACCACATTCAGCTAAAAATGGCTCTGAACACGGAGAATGATCATTTGATGTGCAAATGCTTCTCTACAAGTTTGGTTGGGCCAGCGCTCAATTGGTTCAAGAATTTGGCCCAAGGCTCAATCGCTAGCTTCCAAGATTTGTGCAACAAGTTCATAAGCCAGTATTATGGGAATAAGCGCCCAACCAAAAATGTTTCAAGCCTTTTTACAATGAAGCAGCACGAAGATGAGAAGCTCCAAGCTTTCCTCACCAGGTTCAACCTTGTCAAAAGCATGGTAATGGAATGTCATCCGTCCACGGTGGTTCAATCATTCAAGCTCGCCATGAACTGAGGGACACTGTTCCACACAAGCCTGGTGGTGAATACGCCGAAGACCATGGATGAACTGAATGAAAGAACTGACGGATTCATGCATCTGGAATAAGAGGAGGCAGCTAATGCGAGAAAGACATCGATTATATCAACAGAAGAGAAGTCAAAAGCTAAGATCCAGCAGAAGTAAGCCCCGCCATAGCATTAAACCTCTTGGAAGGCAGAAAAGAGGTCGAGGGAAGAAGAACTGGTCACTCTACTCAAGGTCACCTTGGCTAGGTTGTTCCAAGAAAACAAAGATAAGTTTCGCTCTCCCCTACCAATTAGACAACCTCTCGAACAGAGGGATCAATCCAAACACTGTACTTTTCATAGTGATTTCGGTCACCTAACTAATGAATGCATGAACCTAAGGAGGCAAGTGGAGATGTTGATATCCTGGGGGGAGTTTGCGGGATATGTCCAGGGGCCACCAATGGAGCAGAACCGACAGACTGAACAGGTTAAAAGAAATCAGAAGTCGAGCCACCATAGCACCCAACCCGTTCGGATTATAAACGCAATTCATGGCTGACCTAAATAAACCGAAGAGTCAGAAGAGTTACTCCGAACGCGTCTCCGTCAAGCACAGATAAGAGGAGAATAGGCAATGTAAATGCTATGTACCAACAGAATGCCTCAACACAGATAAAGTTTGATAGAACAGACTTTTTGCGAGTTCAGATTCCCTATGAAGATCCTTTGGTCGTTAGTTTGATGGTGGCAGATTACCTAATGCGAAGGGTAATGATTGATCCAGGGAGTAGTGCGAACGTCATGCCAAGGGACAAGTTCGATCGACTCGAGATCAAGCCTAACGAACGTAAACCTATTGGAAATCCGTTGTTGGGATTTGATGGAAAGTGAGTAGAACCGATCGGCATGGTAAAATTGCTTGTCCGAGCTGCCGAAAAGGAACTGGTTGAAAGTTTTGTAGTAGTTGAAATCCATCCGTCTTACAATCTATTAATAGGGAGAGGGTGGATACATAGGGTCCAGGAAGTCTCATCAACCCTGCACCAGGTAATAAGATGTCTGAGCCCGGATGGGAATAAGGTGATTGATATCCGTGGGGACCAGGTTACAGCCAAGGAGTGTTACTCGGTAACTCTGAAAGCCGCTAGGAAAGGAAAAGCTCTCGTCTGCCCTGTTAGCCCAAGATAGCAATTACAAGAACCTCCCCCCAGCATGAACATGGAAGAGGAGCTTCCGGCGTTGACCGAAGAACCTCTGGTTGAAGTGCAAATTGATCATTTGAGGGCAGATTGAACCACGAGAGTAAGCTCAAGCCTTGCAGAGGAAGAAAAGAGCCAATTAGTTGATTTCCTTTCTCAAAAAGCAGATGTGTTAGCTTGGAGCCATTCGGACATGCCAGGGATCAACCCCTCTGTCTCTTGTCATTCCCTTAACGTAGATATGAGCGTCAAGCCTGTACAACAGAAGCAGAAGAAGTTCGCTTCGAAGTGTAACCAGATCATTGCCGATGAAATTGATAAGTTGTTAGAGGTTGGGTTCATTAGAGAGGTTCAATATCCGTCCTGGCTATCGAACGTGGTTGTAGTGCAAAAGAAGAATGGGAAGTGGAGAGTTTGCATTGACTTCACCAACCTAAATAAAGCCTACCTGAAAGATAGCTTTCCACTTCTAAAGATTGATCAGATGGTGGATGTTACAACTGGGTACGAACGGCTAACCTTTCTGGATGCCTATTCAGGCTACAATCAAATCCTTATGGATCCAAACGATGAGGAAAAGACCTCTTTTGTTACCGAATGAGGGATCTACTGTTACAAGGTCATGTTGTTCAGACTGAAGAATGCCGGAGCCACGAACCAAAAGCTGGTCAGTAAGATTTTTAAGAGTCAAATGGGTAACACTGTGGAGGCTTATATCGATGACATGGTGGTAAAGAGCAGAAAGAAATACCTTCATTTGCAACACTTGCAAGAGGTGTTCGAAGTATTAAGAAGGTATGGTACGAAGTTGAACCCAACCAAGTGCTCGTTCGGTGTAGGTTCCGGGCCATTCTTTGGCCACGTGGTCAACAACAGAGGGATTGAAGTTAACCCAGCCCAAGCAGAGACTCTACTAAAAAATGCAGAACCAAGCACAGTCAGGGAAGTGCAAACTCTCACCGGACGCATAGCGGCACTAAGTCGATTCATTTCGAAGCTATCAGACCGGTGCAAACCATTTTTCGATACAATAAGGAGTTACGGAAAGCAATTTTGGGGGGGATGAGCAAAGGCAAGCATTGACTAGGTTAAAAGAGTATATGCGAAACCCACCAATCTTAACTGCCCGAAAACCAGGTGAAAAGCTTTTTATGTATCTTGGAGTCTCTAGCATTGCAACAAGCGTCGTTCTGATACGATGTGAAAAGGGTAAGCAGTTCCCAGTGTTCTATGTTAGCAAAACAATGTCCAAGCCAGAGAGAAGGAACTCAAAGGCCGAACGAGTGATCTTGTCTTTGGTGAATGTAAAGAGGAAGCTCATGCACTATTTCGAATCACATCCTATAGTCGTTTTGACCATTTTTCCCATAAGGGTAATTCTGCATAAGCCAGATTTGTCTGGGAGAATGACGAATTGGGCAATAGAGCTGAGCTCTTTTGACATAACGTATGAACCCCGAAGGGCCATCAAGGGACAAGCGGTGGCTGATTTCTTATTGGAGTGTGATGTAGCGGACCCGGAGGAAAATCCTGGAGAATCTTCATGGAAGCTTTTCGTTGATGGTTTTTCAAATCAGATGGGGGTAAGAATTGGGATTAAGTTGTAAACGCCAGAAGGTACCACCTTGAGTCAAACGATCAGACTTGAGTTCAGGGCAACCAATAATGAAGCAGAATATGAGGCATTACTGGCTGGATTGAGGCTAGCCAATTAACTAAAGGTCAAAAGTTTAGTTGCTTTTAGCGATTCGCAGCTGATCGTTCAGCAAGTGACTGGGGAGTACATAGCCAAGGATGAAACAATGGAGGTATATCGTTCTGCCATTATGCGTGAGGCTAGGAATTTTGATCAAATCAAATTCATCCAACTGCCGAGGGAGTATAATGAGGACGCCGATCGGTTAGCATGCAGTGTGTCGAGTTCTGGAGAAACACTGGCAAGGGTGATTTCTGTTGGTGTGTTATGCCAGCTGTCTATCTTTGAAGAACCATCGAGCTCGGATCCTTGGCAAGTGAATGTCATACCATATGAGCCGAGTTGGATAAATCCAATTCTGACCTATATACAAGATGGTGTTCTGCCCGAGCAAAGGGATGAAGTAAGGAAGTTCAGATCGAATGCTGCAAAGTATGCCATAATACACAACCAGTTGTATATGAGGTCTTACTTAGGGCCTTACTTGAAGTATGTTTCCCCCACAGAAGCTAGGCAGATATTGCGAACTATCCATGAAGGTGTATGTGGTAATCATTCAAGGGGGAGGTCTCTAGCGCACAAAATGATGACGCAGGGATATTTTTGGCCGAACATATCACGAGATGTAAAGGAATTCTCTAGAAGATGCAATAAATGCTAAAGGTTCGGACCATTGATCCACTAACCACCTGAAGACTTGCACGTAATGGCCAAACCATGACCTTTCGCGCAATGGGGGATGGATGTGGTTGGCCTGCTACCGATCGCCAGATCGCAGAATAAATACGTTTTTCTTACAACAGATTACTTTACCAAATGGGTGGAGGTAGAACCATATCCCAGTGCGACTTAGACTTAAATGAGACGCTTCATTTGGAGTAATATCATTTGTCGATTTGGTGTGCTAAGGTTGATTGTTATGGACAATGGAACTAATCTTGACAGCAAACAAGTGAGGGAATTGTTGGAAGTGTATGGAATCAATCAAAAGTTAGCAACGGTCAGCCACCCACAGGCAAACGGTCAAGCTAAGATCACAAACAGAACAATCTTTGCTTGTATAATGAAGAAGCTTGAGGAAGAAAAAGGGAAATGGTTGGATGAGCTCCCAAACATCCTATGGGCTTACAGAACAACCCCGAGACGACTGACCAGAGAAAGCCCATTCGCTATGGCATATGGCACTGAGGCAGTATTACCATTCGAGCATTTAATTTCGACTATTCGGAGCTTAGCATGGAATTAAGAGCAGAACGATAACATAGTGAGACTTAACCTTGACTTACTAGAAGAAAAGAAAGACGCAGCAGCAGTAAGGCTTGCAGCTTATCAGCAGATGCTCATGAATAGCCACAACAAAAAGGTGAGATATAGAGATTTTGCACCTGGTGATCTGGTTCTGAAAAAGAAGGTGGGAATTCTCAAGAAGATGATGTCACCATGGTAAGGTCCATACAGAGTTGCGGAAGTCATAGGAAAGGGGGCATCCGTTCTGGAGACCATGGCTGGAGGGTTGGTCAATAAACTATGGAACGCTACATCCCTGAAAAGGTATTACCAGTAGGAAGTTGAATTCTATTTCAAGCAATGCACGCTTCGAGTTATCTACTCACAAATGTATGCATGGAATTTCCAAAATCTATAAAAAAAAATGCCATTTTGTTTTAAGAAAAAAAAAGAAAGCAAAAGCTGATTGAGCAAAGAATACTTAGCAAAGTAAGTGGCAAGTAGCACTATGAGCCGAATGCCAGACACTTGCACAAAAAAGAAAAGTGAAAGTGGAAAGTGGTATTCTAGCCGAGCGTCAAGCACTTAGCAAAGTAAGTGGCAAGTGGCACTATGAGCTGAACGCCAAATACTTGCACAAAAATGAAAAGTGAAAGTGGCAAGTGGTATTCTAGCCGAGCACCAAGCATTTAGCAAAGTAAGTGACAAGTGGCATTATGAGCTGAACGCCAAACACTTGCACAAAAATAAAAGTGAAAGTGACAAGTGGCATTCTAGCCGAGCGCCAAACACTTAGCAAAGTAAGTGGCAAGTGGCACTATGAGCCGAACGCTAGACACTTACACAAAAATGAAAAATGAAAGTGGCAAGTGGCATTCTAGCCGAGCGCTAAGCAATAAGTAAAGTAAGTGGCAAGTGGCATTATGAGCTGAACGCCAGACACTTGCACAAAAATGAAAAATGAAAGTGGCAAATGATATTCTAGCCGAGCGCCAAGCACTTAGCAAAGTAAGTGGCAAGCGGCACTATGAGCCGAACGTCAGACACTTGCACAAAAAATGAAAAGCGAAAGTGACAAGTGGCATTCTAGCCGAGCACCAAGCACTTAAGCCGAGTAAGTGGCAAGTGGCACTATTAGCCGAACGCCAGACACTTGCACAACAAATGGAAAATGAGAGTGACACTATAAGTCGAACGCCAAAAACATGTGCAAAAAATGAAATCAACTATTGTTAAAAGTTGGAATAAGGATCAGCAAGAGCGCTTCATTTCATAAAGTTTTGGGTTACAAGAATGGAATATCCTGGTGAAATGAATAAAGTACAAAAAATGGCACATCCATAGGGTCCTAACTAGCCTTATGAGTTCCTTCGGTCTCTTGACCATGCTCAGAATTCTCCTCGTTATTGTTAGCCATCACATCTCCTTGAGGAGAGTCAAGCTGAATAACCATCTCATTTGGCGAAATTTTGCCCTCGGTGATAGTTGAAGGGGGAATCATGGTGGATAGAGGAGGAATATCCAAAGGTTGGACAGATGAGGGAATATGAATGACCCTAGAAGATACAATCTCCTAGCATTCTTCAAAGATGTGCTCGGTAGGAGTGGGGTCAGGGTCAGCATAGACTTCAAATGGGCTGATCTTCAATTCCTTATCAACATCATCTGGACCGGCGTAGGAGCTGGTTTGACCTTCAGGAGGAGAACGGTCAGTATAGCCGTCTCTGTACCCCTCAGCGTACCTGAGGGCCCCGATCTAAGAGAAACGACCATGTAGAGCCCTCATTCCTCCATCAACCATGTCAATGACGCCAAGCAAGGCTTTACGTTCATCCAAGGCTCTCTTCTTAAGAGCCTATTGATGTTGCTCTCGGGCAGTGCACAAAATAATGCACAACACTTTGAGTTTGGAAATTAGTGTCAAGTGGGCATCATAGTTAAATTTATAAACCACTTAACACCTTTATTATGTAGTATAAGTGAGAAGGGATCGTCCCAAGGGATTATGGGGATTGAGTAATGTCGTGGAATCATAATTAGGACTAGTATGTTGGGTGATCAAACAATTGGTTGGTTGGTTGATTAAAGAGCAACTAAATTAAACTAAATAATAGCAAAAGAGTGCAATTAAGAGTAAGTAAGAGAGAGAGAGAGATCTTGGGGTTTAGAGATCACCACTAAGAAATGCATATCTATATCATTGACAAGTGATTAATGAGGGCAAATGGTGTGTTGTAATATTGGTGTGTGTGTATTTGGTTGATTCAACAAGTAAGGATGACTAGTTAAGCATGTATTTTCTAAACATCATGTAAAAGGCACAATATATCTAAGCAATGAAACATATATTGTCTAAACAACATGTGAAAGGCACAATAAATCAAAACAAGTCATTAATCCTTTCATTAAGCTCACAATCCAAATACAACACAAGGATAGAGACATATGCTACTTGCATTCAAAAGCTTAGATCATCAAATAACAAGTATAGATTGTCCTCCCATTTAATACTACACTACAACTACACTACATCTATACTACTAGTATGAAAATAAACTAAGGGAGAGGCACAATCCATCAAGAGATAAGCATGAACCATCAAGAGAATCACAAAAGCATTCTTTTAAGTACAATGTTTTGACAATCTCCAAATCTATAACATCAATACACATAGACATGCATCAATAACACAAAATCTAGAGACAAGCACATGAACATCTATTCTAGCATATATAGACATATGGATAGAATAAAATGACCAATTGGAAGTATTAAACCACATAAATCATTGAATAAACAAGATCTATATATATCAAAGTGTCAAAACATCAATTACAATACTAATCCCTCAATAATACACAAGATTAAGATATAGAAAGCATACTTGGGGCTCACTCTAGCCCCAAGAGGATGTCTAGCCACTCATGGTGATAATGCTCCAACCCTCAAGGGCTAATTCCATGGCTGAAATCTGCTCCTTGTTGATGAAGAGTCTCCAATGGTGTTTCTAACCTCTTCCTCCTCTAAGAGATGATATGAAAATAATGTTGGCTCTCCTCTTGTAAAAGCAATCCTTATCCTTATATAGGTAGGTCAAAAATGACACCCAAAATGAGCTGGGGTCGTGCACACAATATTCCTTAATGATTGGATAAAGGACAACTTTCAATGAGATGGAATTTTAACTTTTTCATACTGGAGGAAGTTCGATCGATCGAATCTTGAACTTAGATCGATCGAAAGTAAATGAGATCGATCGAACTTAGGCTGGATCAATCCAACTGGCTGAGCTTTTTGGAAAAAGACAAATCCGAGATATTTATGGGAGATATTTATGGGAAAAGGATAAAAGTGGTTAGTATGTGGTACTACTGTGGATAGGATCAATCATTTGAATAAGGACAAAAGTGTTCGATCGATCGAAGGATGGTGTTGGATCGATCGAACTTTTGGAACTTTATGCTTTTGGGTCAAGGCTTGGATCTATCTTGAAGTGTTGAGATCGATCATTGTTCGATCGATCGAACCTTGAACTTGGATCAATCGAACTTTGCTGCTTGCCACCTTTGGCTTCATTTGCTTCCTTCTTTCTCCACTTTGCTCATTTCTTTGTTTAATCCCAGAATTGCTTCAATTAAGCCCTTATTTGGCTAAGTTAGCTTATTTTCGGGATAAGTGCCTGAAAAAGGAAATAATACAAAATCAATCTAAAACGGTAAAGTAAGATAGATAAATGTACTAGAATGCCTAAGCTTAAGGGGTTTAAATACGCACTTTTCAGTGCTCATCACACCCCCAAACTTAAATATTGCTAGTCCCTAGCAATGAACTAGAAAGTAAAGGAATGAAATAAACAACTTTACGAGTACGAATCTAGAAAACAATAAATGGATAACGCCACTTTCGCAGGGAACACGATTGCACTTAGCATATGCAACAAGCCTTTTAAACCCCTAGTGGACGAATGAAGTCTCGTGAGGGTTTTCAGAAATGGTACCCACAAACATTAAGCTCATTCTTTCAAAAGAGGCACCAATATTGCAAACAAGTATTAGGAGAAAACTACATCAAGTATGCAATTTTTCAACCCTTTCTAAGCAATCTCCCAAAATTTTAACATCAAGCAAGTAAGTATGGTCCTCCACACATCAAGAAAATGATCATGCAAATCAAAACAACTCTAGAATCCTTTTGAGTGGGCCGGCATCAAATATGTTGCTATCTAAGCCAACTAAAGAATTAATCACATCCTTACCCTCAAACTAGCACACAAATCTAGTACCGATCATCAAGACAAAAAGTGGACCTTTTATTAAAGCTTTATTGTTTTAGGTGCGCTTATTCTTTTCACTCGATTTTTTATTTTATTTTTATTTTATTTTTTTTATTGAGGATCAAAGATGGAAGTATAGTGCAATGTGTTGATCTATTAAGCTTTCTAGCGATTTATGAGGTCGAGCGTTAGGTCAATGACTCCCAAACCAGACGGCTTTAGGGTATTTGGCATTCAAATACCCCTACGGACTTACAAACTCAAATCAACTAGGCTACAAATCAAGACAACAACCATCTAATTATTTCCTACTTCTCACCTTTTTAGGAGAAATCCTCACTTTTTGCTTTTGCAACTATTTTTTTTTTTTTTTGTATTCAATTATTCACCTAGAGTTTGGGCTCTCCACCTTTCGGCGCGAGAAATTCAGTGCTTGATGAGGCTAGAATCCTGACTACTTAGTGAAAAGGGGTTGTTATCCCTTTATCAAGAATGAAAGCTTTCAATGTACTACTAGCCCAATTGGGATATAACTGTGATACCCCCGAATTTCCGAATGCGGGTTGGCCAGGCCCACGCCCGAATACCCGAGGATATCAAAACAAATTGATAATAAACAAACACAGAGTACAAAAGAATAAAGAAGAATAAATAAAATGCTGACAAGAAACTAAAATGATAATCTACTAATAAACCTCAAAATATATTTCCATTAATTAATAAACTCTTCTGATACAACTGATCCTCCAAAATACAACTCGGGAATCCATACTGTGTGGACCCCTAGAAAATCCAAACTAAACAAATGACAGTAATCTAAAACAGGAAACTGAATCATAAAGGAACTCCTATGTAGCATCGGAAGAATGAAGTAGATTGATCCCCGCTCAGCACGAACAACCTCTACTCGTGACGAACACCTGAAAAATAATGGTGGGTCAGGCCCA